ATCTTACAAAATACTTTGAAGGACACTTTCCAGAAAAATGGTTTTTTTTGTTTGTACGTAAACAAAATCAGACATGTCTTTCGATTCTAAATTGATTAATTTTTTTTTTTTTTCAGAACTCATTGAATCTACCGACAAGCTCTTTGAATTGGAAGAAGAATTTGAAATCCTGAGTGTATGAAGGAAACCGGTGACCCTTCTGAGTATTGAACACATTGCTAGTATTATTGCAGACTTAAAATCAAACAGCCATGTTAGCCCCAAAGTGCCTGAAATTACAGAGAACAGAGCACAAAAACCTAGTAGCATCCAAAACTCCAACGGTGACAGTTCCTGCTGTCAAAGAGCTTCCCCAGATGGAAAGGTGGGAAAAGATCTTTTAAGACGAGCCTTAAAGGGAACCTCTTTTTAATGTGTGTCTTTCCTGAAGACAAACGGACCTTTGAGATTAAGGCAAAAATAAGGATATCACTGGGCTGTATGTTTGGAGAACGGGATAACACCAAATGGGTATTTCTTGCTCTCATGTAATGCAATAGTTTAGTTCTTAAAGCAGAACAGTTTTCGGTTAAGGAGGATGTTTACTTCTGTTCCTTCCTGTGGGCTGCATCGTAGAAAAAAAATACATTGTCTTGTTTAAAAGATCGACTGGATCAGAAGAAAATTGTTTCCTTGTTAAATATTTTAACAGGTATTTGAGCAACCACATTTTATTACAAAAATGTTTCTGTAAAAGGAACTATGTCTAATGTATACGTTCTGCAATAGCCTTCCTGTTTCTGGGAAACCTCAAGAGGAACAGGAGACTCAAACAGTCGATATAGATCACAACCACTGTTATAGTTATGATATATTTCACCTTGACCTTAAAATTCAGATCGTTAAAGCTTAGGCTGACTTTTCTTTCAGAGCTAAAATGAGTCAAAGGTGGTTTAGCTGTACCTTATTTATTTTAAAAAAGATTTACACAAGTTTCTCTGTTACAGCACTTTATCTGTGCATCTAATAAATTTCTTAAGCTTTTCCTAGGTTGTATGCTGCTATATTTTGTTAATTTGTTTGTGTGAACTAAATATAAACCAGGTTATCTTAAAACTTAATGTATAGGCATATGCACATTACTTAATTGTTGGGTTTTGACTTGCTGCCTTTTGAAATCTGTTTTGGTAAAAGTGCCTTAATTCTACAGGTTTATCAGAACAGCCTGTGCGCTTTTATTCCTAAGGCAGAGTATATCTCTAGCAGCCATAAGAAAAACGGCTCAGAATAATTCAAGGCAAAGATCTTTTAATCCATTATAAAGTTCCTTTTTACTATCAGACAGTCCCCATTATGGTCATTTTGTCATGAGAGTGTAATGGACGTGAATCGCACCGTTTCATCTTCACCAATAAATGACAACATAGAGAAATCCTGAACGCTGTCTCCTCTCACTTGCACTTCTTGATCAAGGGCCAGTGTGATTTCCAAGAAAATAGTCAGCCAGATCATATTGCATCTTGTTTGCCTTCAATGTTTATTAACCACAGTTTGGAAACTGTACACTTACAACAAATACCATTTTTCTTCCCCCCTCCGTGGATTAGCTGCATGGTTTTTTTTAAAACAAAGCATTACTTCTGAATGAATACATGAACTTACTGTTCATGTAACAGCGATTGTAGGCCTCTCTTCCCCACAGAGAAAAATGAAAATGAAGCCCTTGCTCTGAAATGCTCAGTCTCGAGCAGTAACTGCTAAAAAAAAAAAAAAAAGGAAGCACCTCAGTTAAAAATAATAATAATTTAAAAAAAAAAATCTATCAGTGGAGTACAGTGTACTTATTCCCCACATAGCTCTTAGCTGTTACGTAAACACTCTTCAGAGAGGAGGTCTTGGCCCTGCGGCCCTCCTGAAGAATATTCTTTCAGAAACGGATTTATGAAATGATGGAAGAGTGGCTGGAGATCGGAATTCCCACCCCGTGTGCCTGACAGAGAAGGCTTGTGTGTAAACCGTGCGGGAGAAGGCTGGGCTTGAACTGGATGGAAGTTTGGACTCTGACAGGAGCAGAGCCAGGTTACTGCAACAGAAGCAGTTCCCTAAAGGCAGCAGTGCTTAAAAGGCGTAAGGCTCTGATCCTGGAAAAAAAATTCATTGTATTTGCATGTGTCCGTGTTCCAAAATAAAACCAAGTCCCCGTAGACACAATACCTGATTGACACCCCTTTTTATAGCACCACGGGAGCCCGATGGCTGAAAAATGCATTGTCGTTTGCCAGTTATTCGCACAAAGTAGTGAGCTTCGCTGTGTGCACGCAGTGTTTTAAAGTTGCATTTGCATAGCCCAGGATGTAAATACAATGTGATCTGTCTGGGCTGGGACAGCTAAGAAGTAGACTGAATATTCTGCGCAAAAGGATTGCCACTCAGGAGCATTAAAATGCCTTAAAGATAATTGCAAAATACATCCGGAGCAGTTGCAGGTCTTTTGCAATTAGGAATAAGTTAAATGAAAGACCAAATTGTTCTTCACAAATTCCCTGCTCATCTCCAGTATGGTTCAACTCCAGAACATGCAGAGCTGTCTGACCCCGATCTAGGAAGATAATATCATATTATACAGGTAAATAATCATTAAAGGTAAAAATATTATCTGCTTATAAGTATGCATGTTCTTAAGTACTTTGCTGAATAGAGAGAGCTAGAGCCCTAGAACCTAGTAAAGAAATAATACTTTAAAATAATGTCTCAGTCTTGCATTAATAATAATTTTCTGAACAATTTTGTCTTAAAGATTTTTAAGCCAAAGTGATAGTGTATTTGCAAGGCACTTCTTTCAAATGTCCTGGGAATGTCAATACATAAGGATTTTGTATGCTTTACTCCAGAGAAGTGATAACAACTTTGGCCTAACTAAATGAATTCATTATATATATATATATTAGCACACCTGTTTCATGGCTTTCCCTCAAAATATACAAGGATAATACAGTTATTGGCACTTCTCTTTAATTATGCCCTGAAGGAAAGTGTGACTAGTTAACAGTGCGTACACTAGAAATACAGTTTTTTAAACTAACAGAAATAAAGCCCAGAGGAATATAACACATCGTGACTGTAGAAGTAGAAAACATACATGCCATGACTGCTTACTTCTGTGTTTGAAAAGCCTGCATGCTATCTAGTAAAGCCTCTACTTTGCAAATACACACAGCTTGAATAATTACAAAACAAGTGTGCCAAGGCTACCTCAGAAAGGAAATTTATGTTTGTCGTAATGAAATGTTTCTGGTGGCTGCACATCATTTGACTGCAAGACGATAAGCACAGACCTCGAAATAGACATTTTACCTGGGATATATTTCAACAGAAAGCTATGAAAAATGCTGGAGGCGTTTTGGATTCATCTTCACATGAAAAATTGCATTTTTCACTGGGGTAGCTCTTTAAAGTCAACCGTGGATGAGAGTCTGGATTAGAATTGATTACCTGTCACTGGAGGAAAGAACATCCCATCTGTTTAGTAAGCAAAGCAAACCAAATCAATCTTCGAGTCTTCCTAAGGAAGTCAGTTTATCGACCAGTAATGCTTGGTGTTTCTAAGTCACCTACAATACACGGATAAATTTTAGCTAGCTCTGTATCTCATAGGAGAATGAGTCTTCATTCCCTTACACTAGACCAAATACTGTTTGCAAAGACACCAACAAAGCATAACTTTGGAAAAGTCTCTCCTGTTGATGACTGGCATGTGCCTCGGACAGAGGAGTGGTGTAATGTGAGACACCAGTTACTCCGGTCTGAATACGGAACTCGCAGAGGCTTTCTGAGGTAGCCATAAAAGAGGGAAAAAAACCCCATTGAAGTAAAAGCATAGCACCATGTTCCATAAAAAAAAAAAAAGAGGTGTCAGAGCACTGGTCTTTTCCTCCTCTGCGTGCAGTCAAACTCCTGGACTTGACACTCGATTTTTGTAGAATTCTGGCTGTCTTGATTCACGCATCAACCACACACAAAACAGGTTTATGAATTTATCCTTCTTCACGTCAGCGATGTCTAGTCTTAGGTAACAAAGACTGTTAATGTTACTGCATTTTTGTTAAGAGGTGTCAGAGCACTGATCTTTTCCTCCTCTGCGTGCGGTCAAACTCCTGGACTTGACACTCGATTTTTGTAGAATTCTGGCTGTCTTGATTCACGCATCAACCACACACAAAACAGGTTTATGAATTTATCCTTCTTCACGTCAGCGATGTCTAGTCTTAGGTAACAAAGACTGTTAATGTTACTGCATTTTTGTTACTACAAGTTCTTCATGCACACCTGGCAACGGCTGACCCTCGTTCGAAGCTGTCCTGCTTTCAGAGTTTCTGAGGGAGGAGCACTGACAAACTGCTGCGACTGTTCAACCGTCGTCAGCCAGAAGCTGTATTTGTTTGCAAAGTAATGGCACGTTCCCCTAGCACCGTTGCATTCAATGAACGGAGTAGCACGGAAATCCTCCAGGCAAGAACCAGGTGAGACGAGGGACTGACCTCCACCTTCTGCACCAGCTGCGGTATGCTGAAACAGAGACATCAATTTAAAGGAGTTCAAAGGAACAGAATGGGACATCAAAAGGGGACTCCTCCAGTTCCATTGTTAAAAGGCATAAAACAGGCAACCAAAATTGTACCTTGGCTATGTCTATCTGTCTTTTGAGTCAGGGCTAGGGGTGAAGAAGCAAAAGAATGTACTTGGGGTGAATATACAGGCCTGGTGTAATGGAAAACCAGTTTTTCACTTGCAAGCTGGGAAAATTTGGAAACAATAATGCTGACTTCGTACTTTTCTAACAATCTTACACTAATGAGCTTCTAGGAGAGCGCAATGGAAAATGTTCTGCTTTTTCCCCCGAGAGAGGGGATTAAGACAATGCTGTAGCTTAATTAGCGTTTCCACATTTTAAAGGTTTGAAGAACAAAGAATATCCGTGGCAATGCAGAACTACTGCATCAATGTTACTACTGAACTTGAGCAGTACAGGTGAGGAGGCCAGCTAAACGGGAACAAACTCAGAAAGCTTATAGCAGGCCAGCTGATAAAGAATAAATGCACTAGGGCAAGAAGCCACAGGGCTGTAGTTTCCTGTAAGCAACTCATAGAATACAGTGTCAGTCACCTAATCGAAGATCCGGAAATGTTTAAAGCTGCCTTTGCATGAGCCATCGTATCCTTACCATCAGGAAGGAGTATCCTATCCATAGGCTGCGCCAGCCAAGGGGACACTGGGGGATGGTGATGTCCTGGCTGTGCACAGCCACAGCCTGGGAAGGTGCTTCACACACTGAGCAGCGGCTGATGTACGGTGGGATCTGAACACTGTCCACTGGCATCATGGGGATAGGAGCAGTGGTGGAGAGCCAGTAGGACTTGTCATTTCGGCTGGCGTAGTAGCACACTTCATTGATGTTGCAGTAAATGAAAGGCATGGTGCTGAAGCGAGGCAAACACGAGCCGGCGAAACCTGGAAAAATTGGAGAAGTGGTCATACCAAGCATCTGCCAAATGCTCCAACTCATCCACACCAGACAGGAGTGGCAGAGGACGGCACAAGTCGCACTGCTCCCAGTACAGAATCTAGCCAAGCAGACTTCCACCACCTCTACTACAACCGCCTGCGGTACCAATGAAGATTGCTCATTTGAAGCAGGATTTTGGCCTACGTTATTTATGCCTGAGAGAATTCTGTCAACTCACCAAGATCCTGGTTGTGTGACTTCTCCTGCCCCTCCACGTACAATAAGCTGTAGCCGTCCCAGAGCTTACTCATTCCTATGGGACAAGGTGGGATTTGGTCTGACTGACTGTGCTTCACTAAAGTGTATCCAACGCCCATGCTCCGGCCAGGCATTCCCGGCAAACCAAGCGAGCCTGGCTTTCCAGCAACACCTAGAAGACAGAAAAGGAGTCACCATTACTAATACGCAGCGTGGACATCAGCTGGCTCTAGACCTGATTTTTGGCGTTGCTGTCATTGTGTTTATGTCAGTCTTGTACAATAAGAAGCCCGAATTTTGATGGTTGTTATATGAATAACTAGACTTATCGGTTCCAAAAGCAGTCATTTCACAGTAGCACCCACCCATTTCCTACCTCATTTAATTTTCTTTCTTTTCTCTGGTGCCAATGTGTCAGCACATATCTCACAGTACACTAATTCTGAGGATCACAAAGCACCAACTAAAACCTAATAAATTCATTTTTGCTACAGTGCTCTTCATGATGATATTCCTTTGACACAGAAAGGCTAAGAGTTGTACAAGAAATCTGTGGCAGAATCCAAACCTTCTCTCTCTCATTGTGCCTTTACTATCCAACCCTCACAGCTGTGTTCTCCCTGAATACCATTTTGCTCTTTTAGACCTTCAAGATGACTCCCACATCCACAAAACATTAAAACCAAAAGATGTTCAGAATTGTACCTAGGGAAACACCAGCAGTGATAGACAACAATGACATGTGACATAATCTTCCTCACTGAATATTAAATTTACTTAATTGCAGATACAAGACACAAGATCGTGTACATCCCCTGGTCTTCCTAAGGTAACTGGGTGTTGGGGAGGGTCTCTGCAGAACCTGTAGGCAAACAGAATTCTACTGATTGCTTCTTTCTCATCTGTGCTCCCCAAATCATAAAATTACCTTCAAATCCTTGTGGTCCGGGGGCACCTGAAGGTCCTGGATCCCCAACTATGCCAGGTGATCCAGGTAAACCATCACGTCCTTTCAAACCAGATCTTCCTGGCAGACCCTTTGTACCTGAAATTAAATACAATTATTACCATCATTATTTCCTCATACCAATGCTTTCACTCCTGCAATCATATTCCAGAAGAGAAACACACTGTCAGCAGCCATGAGAGCTCACTCTTCAACAGCTGCAGTTACAACCAACTAACTCCATCCAGGGATTCCACAGGATCTGATTGTCTGTTAAAGGACCGAGAGGTGCGCCTGAACATTAGGCACGGCTGAAAATGCAGCACTGAGATCTGGGATAAGTTACTGATTTCAGTCTGAAGCCACACTAGACCTAAGACTCAGGTTTCAATTTGATGGCTGCGGAAGTCTGTGAACTTGTCTCATCTCTGTCTTGCAAGATTCCTGATTCTGTGAAAACAAGAATTCTCTGGTACAATGGTCCAGCTGTTGCAAGCTGAAGAAAGTTGAGCTACCTTGCTGAAATTTTGCTTAGACTTGAAGTCATTTCTTTTGCTTGATTTCACCCTTTTTTCAAACCAGAAAATTGGCCTTGATGTTCAGCCTAAATATTATGTAAAATTAGAGCCATTGACTTGAACTAAATTCACCTTTCCCCTCCTCCCCCAATATTTGACGATGAGCATCTGACTGACAAATCTTTAAAAAGTCTCAGGGCCATGAAGGGTGCTTAAAATATAAAGGCTTAGAATTTCGTGGGATGTAAGAGGAGGTGCCTGCCTATGGATCTTTAGAATCCATTCAGGATTGTCCTGACCCCAAACCAGAAAGGTCTGGCACGGATTGGATAAACCAACAATAAAATAAGTGTTCAGGATGGTACAAGTTAAAATATAACAAAATAGTATAAAGAGACAGAAGGTGTCATACAATTGCACAGAGCTAGATATAGAATCATAGAATTGTTTAGGTTGGAAAAGCCCTTTAA